AGGATGTGTTTGTGCACTGGCCCCCAGAATGCTCCTGCACCAGGAGATAAGTAAGTCCTACCCTGCCCCACCTCTCAGCTGGGCTTTATGGCTGATTCTTCCCACAGTGCCATAAGATCCTTAACAATCAGTAACAGCCAGAGGTGCAGAACTGAAACATGGTGAAAGCAACATTGTAAAATAGAAATAACAAGACAAAAGCACACATCCGAACCCCACGGGCTGGTATCGGGGCCTGGAAAACAATAACAATTAAATCATCTGTTTTTAAGCACTGAGGACATTCACAGCAAAGCAAGTGTGTCAAACATGCAGTATGGACAATTTTGGTATTTGGCAAGAGTTCAACACTTGTAATGACCAGGGCAAACCCAATCGGCCTCCTGTGGAGGCAGCTGCAGACGAACACACCATCACGATGGCAACAGGGAAGAGGTCATCGCGAAGAGAAGGAGCCATTTGGAGAGTGTCCTAAATTAAGTAGTGGGAAAAGGGTCTAATATCACAGAAAGATCAGGAGGATATCTAGATCCATTCATCTTCCTGCTGGGTCACTCTGTGTGGCTCAATTCAAACTGCACTCTGGGACTTCCTTAGCATTTATATTGTTGCCGACTCAAAATGGGTATCACCATGTGGTAGATGACATTTTAGGTAGCTCATCTTCCATGTTGGAGGAAAGGACATTTAAGTAACTACTCACATAAACAGTGGACTGCCTGCAGGGGAGTGACACTTTATTTTTTATTTTTTTTTAATCTTAGTGCTTCACTGTAGAGTTTCATTGTAACAAAAGATAGTGTTTCATATTATTTCCTGAGACACTGATCAGAGAGAACCACCCGGCAGCAGGACTTGAAAGGGATGCTTCAATATCCTTTCCCCAAAAAGTAGCAGGACTGTAAACTCTGTGGTCAAGAACAACACAGACTATGTTACATCCCAAGGAAATTGCTACAGAATTACATAAATTTGAACATAAAAATTACTCTGAACACAGTGCTTAAGACTATATTCTACATTTTCATACAAGGGCTGTTCACAGGTTCTTTATTTACTCTCAAAATATTTTCTCAACAAAATATCTCCAAAATATTGCATCATCCTTAATTTAGGAAAAAATACTAACTGTGAAAAAAGTGATATCTTTGCCAGGGCAAAGGTATCAATATTGGCTCTGACAGAGATTAGCAAGCCTTTTTTTCTGGATCAGTGCCATTCAACATTGTTTAATTTCTCCCCCCTCAAACCATAAATTATCAATCCTCTACAACAAATGAAAAACTCAGAAATCCAAGAACAAAATCATTTAACATTTAACAAAACAAATTTAAAAGATAAAAGCAGAAGCTCGGGAACTGAGCATGCAGAGGAAGAGTGATGGTGACTCATCAGCCAAACCACTTCTGTGAGAGACAACTGTGGGGATCAATGAACAGAGAAAAGATATGGGTTTTTTCCAAGACAACAAGACAATTACACAAAGTTTTATTTTGAAATCCAGGGCTCTGGATCTGAGGTCCACAACAGACCATCAGGTTTTGTAAGACAACAGCATTACATATAACATTTTTTCTGTGTGTGTTTCTTATGTGTAAGCTCCAGTGAAGATAAAAAAGCCTTAAAATACCCAAAAGACAGGCAGCAGAATGACCCAAATTCAAGGAAACCAACTGCAACTGCACTGGGCTTTCCCACCAGCACAGTACATAGGAATTTACTACTGATCATCACGTGATGATAGTGTTGATTTAAACACAACAAAACCTTTGTCATTTAACACAAGCAAAACTGTCCAGCACAACTGCACTTTCTTGTGCCTCTATATGGATGTTCTTCCATCTTCTCTACGACTGTTTCAACTGTCAGAATACTTTCATCTGAAATAACAGCATTTCCTCATTTAAACCTTCTCTGAAATTTCCTACCCACATTTTCACACGTTCGCACCTTCAAAACAAAATGCTTTTAGAGCTGAAAGTTTCTACATCAAGTTGGAGTTTCCCAAATTTCTCAGAAAAAAAAAGTAGTATGTATTTTCAGACTAGCTTCTTATCATTCTGATCATGTAATATTTGCTCACATCTAATACAGAGACTGAACTCAGAGACAATAAAATCCCTAGAAAACCCTTGGAACCAGCAAGCAGAAGAGCAAGACCCTATGAGCATCCTCCCCAAGAACAGTGTGCCAGCATGTATTCATACTTGATTTGATCCTAAAAATAATCCAGTGGAAAAGTGCCAAAACGTAAAGGAAAATCTGAAATATAACTACCAGCATGACAGAGTCAAGATTAAAGAATGACAAAGCACGGCAGAAAGCTGAGAGGCACCAACTCCCCATACAGGTCATTCCCTGAACAGTTGGAGTTGGTGATCCTTGTGGGTCCCTCCCAACTCCAAATATTCTCTGTGTATGTGCTTCTGTGTAACTTCAGCTCTCACTACCATTGGTTTAACACTGAGGAGTTTAAACAACAATTGCTTGGATCATATTCTATGCTATATCCTTGTAATTCTTTTTTTTTTTTTGGGGGAATCATAACCTCTTCTTTCTCTACTCCAAACTCTCCTGGTCAGAGGTTGTGCACTGGAGGGTTTAAGCCAAGTGTGCTGCACACTGAAAAAATGTGTATTTTTAGTGTTTGCAATGCTGGTCCCAGTCAGCTGCACATTCCCTGTAGTCAGTGTTGGGCTGTTTATCCCAGAAGTGATTTAGTTTTGCATTTAGTTTGCCCTTTAACACAATCAAGGCTTTCAGCTCACCCTGTTGTAACCCCATTCCCTCAGACCTTTCCAGCTGAAGGAGAGACAATTATTTTAACAGAGATGAGTTTGCTCGGTCACTTTTCCCCAATGTCCCTGACTGACAGCAGTCAGTCTGTGATTTACAGATACTCCCAGTTTGTGGCACAGTGTTTCCCATTCCAGACAGTGACCTTAATTTTAGGGCACTGATTTGCATAGGCAGCTACTAAGGTACATGTCAGTGCAGAACTTACATTCACCTTGTTCCTTTCAGGGTATTAGCACAGCAACATCTTGCTCTTCAGAAACACAGGATTTTAGAACTGCAGCCAAAGTTGTAAAATATTCTGGGTTTTTTAACTGGCTGTGAGAAAACTGTGATAGAGCTTCAAATTTGTGAACTATGTTAGAGACACTTCAACCAACTTCTGAAAGATACATCACAAAATACTCAACAGTTTCTTTCCCCTTGAAAAGAGCCAAATAGTAAATACCTCATAACACAACTGGAATTGCAGGATATTCATCAAAAACTTCACTTAGAAATATTTTTCCTTCTGCACAGGATCTCTGCAAAGTACAAAATCTGGAGCAGAAGAGTTGCCACCTACTTGGCAAAAAATAGTATTTCAATGTATGACAAGCATATATTTGGCATTTGGTGTTGCTTGGTAGGTAACTGTAACCCATCCTGTGAATAAAACACCGTTGCCTCTGTGCTCTACAGAATCCCACACGTGCTCCAGCACTGCTGTTACATCCCAGCATCCCAGAAGGGGTTTTCCATGCCCTTTCAGTTTGCATTCATTTTTTAGTGTATCAGCTTGAAGGACACAGCTGAAATTATCTTATTTGCAGTAAGCTGTCATTCTTGGCACAGCAAATTTTAGCAAAGTAATAGTAATGAAGGAAAATTTTAATAAATACTGAAAGCTTCAAAGACAGTTTTTAATCATAAAAGCATACGTTCAGACTAGGTGATGAAAACACTATTTACTGATAACATACACAAGAACACACAATGTGAAGTGTCAGAGATGGCACTGTACCTCCCAGAATGAGGACTTGCACTACAAAAAAATCAGGAGCATGGAAAAATTCAATTATTTCATTAAAAGAAACTCCCCATTAAAAAGTGCAACCAAGCAAAAAATGAAAAACAAAGGGCAACAACAACAACAACAAAAAAAAGACTTCTCAATAACGCCTTGGGGAAAGATCCTCAGAGATAGGAGCTTTCTGCTCTCAGGAAACATTACAGCTCAAATTTGGCACAATTGAGTCAACACAGATGTACGTGATTTCACTGTATCAAGGCCAGAAACAGTCAGGACACTTAACATTTTGTTTGAGCCCTGTCTATTCACTTGTTTCCTTCCTCTTCAGTTTTATTCACCTACTGCTTTTATAAAGGAGCATGAGACAAGAGCATCCTCATCTCCCACATGAAGTGGGAAGGAGTCAAGATTCAAGAATTAAGTAGAAAGAGTGCTGACAGATGCAGAAAATAAACACATTTTTCAACTCCTGTATTTCTCTCAAGCTGTAGTATGAGACATCAATCTTAATTACATAAGATCCATCTTTTTTAGACAAGTACACCTTTCAGACACCAACATGTTCAATGTAGCCATGCCTTCCATAACTATAAATAATATTTCTTCTTGTAGCCAGCATTAGGAATCCTACCTTTATAGTATATAATGCTTAAAGTTAGATCTAAAAATCAGATTTCAAAGCTACAATGTGATAAATTAGTGATGCCAATTTTTTTAACCCAGCCATTGATCTCTTCTATCCTATATTTCCAGCTATCTCAACTTCCCCCAGTGCAAGCAAATACTGAACAGCTCTTTGGTCCTAAACAAAGCTTACCTGTCTGCACAAAGGTTAATATTTCCATGAAATTCCTCCTAAAAACTAGGCAAAAACCTGGTAAAGCCAGCATATGTGCAGAGCTGGCAGAGAAGCAGTAGGTCCCCCACAAAGGAATAAAAAAATACTGGAAGAGAGACTGAGTGGGAGAGACAGTTTGGAGGGAATGAGATAAGATTCTTTAGAAAATAAATAGCAAGTAAGAGCATCACTAAGGAAAAAAAATGATGGAAAAGACAGCAAAAGCAGTGAGAGAAGTCAGAGGAGAAGGGGAATAGAAAAAGTAAGCAAACATCCATCAGAGATGACACAGGTACGAGCTGATCCTGCCCGGGGCAGGAAGAACAAGGGCAGCAGTGCCTGAGTCCCCTCTGGCCTTGCTATTCCATGTTTAACTTCAAGGGGGCTTTGTGCAGGGCTCAGCACGGGGAGCAAGAACACATTTCAAACCTCAGCAGCACGGCAACCACGGCCTCAGGACATCCCATTCCCCTCCCGTGCAGCAGCACAGCCAGCAGGGATTACGTGTGCACGGAGTGTGGAGGCATCACTGGCACAATTCTCAGTGCTGGGAATTGCCCCTTGCAATCCTACCTGTGTGCCCATGTCCTGTGCTGGGAATGGATCACATTATGCATCCAGGAATTAACAATCCCGCTGGCTTCCTCGACACTTGGCTCCTGACAGTATTGCTGTCATTTAAGGGTACCCTTTCCTGAAAACCAGCACAGCATCCTCATCACGGCAAGGGCACCAAGTACTTCAATTACAAGAACTACAAAAATCATCAACGTACTGCGAATTTTATTCCTCACGTTTGTCAGCTCTATTACTGACACTCAGTTAAGGACTAATAGAAAAAAGAAATATAGTCTTGACATTAGAAACACTGACTTCATTTCAGGAAACGCTGAATCCTTTGTCTAATGTATTTACCAGAAGAATAAACTGTAAATGAGACTTGGGCAGCCAAGCCTGTATAGCCTACATAAGACAGTGAGCAGATCTGAACTATAATCAGAAAAGCAACACAGAAATAGTTTCACAGAAACTCACCAATGCAAAATCATTCAAGTAAAAGTAAATAAAAATAAATTAAAAATACCTATTCTGTATCACTACTATAAACCTGATAACTGGAGCATGTGATAACGACCACTTTCCTAAAAACTAAACAATCTATTGATATACATACTGAAAACTCACACAGCCCCACTACTCTTCCCAATATAGATCTTCTCAAGCAGCTGTGACTATTTGGTCTCTAAAACTTAACTATTTGATTACAAGGACTAGCTCTGGTTTAGACTGTAATACATCCACGATCATCAATCTCTACCCCAGAGTGACAAAACCTTGCTTCAGCTTTTACAGCCCACACGTACAACTGTTTTCACACTTCCAAATGACAAACACGCAGTATCTTTCCTAAGTATCATCGAGTCTAGAGAAGTGAAGCAAGGGACTTGACATTCTTGGGACACCATCACCAGCATCTGCTGTGTTTTATGATCCAGTTCAGCTTGAATAAACTGGATCTTATTTAAAGTGAAAAAACCAGTTATCACTAAACTACTTCCAAATGTAACATACTATGCCACATTTGAAATTCAGAGTAGATAAACAAAAGCTGCAGCGTTGGACAAGATCTTTCACACTTCGCTGATGTGAATCACTCCAGTCAAACTTCAGACCACATTCGTTTCACCATCTGTGCGCACCATGTTCAGTTGGCAGCACGATGTCCAACAGCCACATCACAAATTTTGGAACCGTACGACTCGTGCCACTCTCACTCTGTCAAACCATCTCGCAGTGCACAGCCCTGCCCCTGCTGAGGAGCGGCAGTCCTGGCTGTAACTGCTGTACATCTTAAATGTACACAGTGGCACTACGCCTGCACTGAACAGCTATTTAGGGAACATTTATACTTTTTTTTTTCCTGACAGAAGCGCGCAGGAGAAAACGCTATGATAAATCGCCAATAAAATCAGCAAACATCGATGACTTACAGGCAGGTAGTTTCCCGGCAGTTAAACATCTGCACCCTTTCAACCAGCAACTCCTCTGAGCCCCGACCACCCATGTTTCTTGTTGTTCCCTGTGCTCGGGAGCCCCCTCCCGTGCCGCCCTTCTCCCGCAGCACCTTTCGCACGGCGTTTCGCAGGCGACAGCGGAGCGGGCGCGGTGCCCCCGAGCCCCGCGGAGCTCACGGGGCTCAGCAGCGCTGCCCTGCCCGCCGGCTCCAGCCCCAGCCCCGCTCGCCCCGCGGCCCCGGCCCCCCGAGAGCCCCCCCTGCGCGGGCACTCCGCGGGCGCGCATCCCTCCTCCCGGCCCGCCCCGGCAACTTTCCGGCCGCGGAGCGGGGCCAGCGGGGCCACCGCGCACCTGCCGGGCTGCCCCGCTCCGAGCGGCCCCGCTGCCCCCGCGCAGCCCCGGC